GCTGCCCTTCAGGCTGCGCCGAGCTCCTCTCATGCTGCCCCCACCCCAGGGCTGCCTGTGGACTTCAACCAGTACAACGAGCTGCACCTGCCAGCAGTCATCCTCAAGACCTTCCTCCGGGAGCTTCCTGAGCCCCTGCTCACCTTTGACCTCTACCCCCACGTGGTGGGCTTCCTCAGTGAGTCCCCCTCTCTTCTGTTGAGTCTGAGACTGGACTTGGGGCAGGTGTGCTGTGGGCTGGCAGGCCTAGGTGCCCCCCAGGGAGGACAGCTTGGGAGGTCTCCTCTCTAGCATGCATCAGGACTTTCTGAACCAGCCCAGCCCAGGGCCCCTGTAACCCGGGCCCCCTTTTCTCTAGACATAGATGAGAGCCAGAGGGTGGCAGTGACACTGCAGGTCCTCCAGACGCTGCCCGAGGAGAACTACCGGGTGCTTCGTTTCCTGACTGCTTTCCTGGTGCAGGTGAGATCTTGGACTTGGCCTCTGGGGTGAAGGGAGGGGAAGGAGGAGCTGCTGCCTCTGTGCCCCGGTCGGGGTTGCTGGGAGTGGGAAGCAGAGTCTGTGGCTCTCTGCTGCAGCCCCCAATTCCCTCCCCAGATTTCTGCACACAGTGACCAGAACAAGATGACTAACACTAACCTGGCTGTTGTCTTCGGCCCTAACCTGCTGTGGGCCAAGGATGCAGCCATCACCCTCAAGGCCATTAATCCCATCAACACCTTCACCAAGTTCCTTCTGGATCATCAAGGGGAGCTGTTCCCTAGCCCGGACCCCAGGGGGCTCTGAGCCCGGCCTCTGCCCCACCAGCCCCTTCTCTGATAGCCCGGGTTTGGACTCTTCCTCCTGCCATCAGGGGCCATGAAGCCCCCTGGAGAGAGATGCTGGAGCCGCCCATCAGGCATGCTTTCCCCCACCTCTGTCCAGCCCACCTCACGGCCCTGGCGGCCTCACTGTTACCAGAAGACGTTTTTCTTCGCCTTACACTTCTCACTGCCTCTCTGGACACCTGGCTTTTGCTGGGCTTTCCAGAGCTGGGCTTGGCCCTTCTAGCTAGAGAAGGACTGAGCCCCAGTAACCCCTTTCCTGCTTTTTCCTGCCTCTTTTTCCCTGGCAACTGTGGATTAATCAAATCACTGCCGGCTGGGCTGGTAGCAGGGGCCAGTCCTCCCCTCCTGATTGCTGGGAATGAGCAGCTGAGCTCCTTGGTGTGGCCACTGCCCCACGCTGAGGCGCCTCCCTGTCTGGTTGGTTGCTGTGCTTTGCCCTGCTTTGCTAAGTCCCACTGTGTGAAGGAGTGCAAGCACCCCTGTTCCTATGCTGCCCCCAGCAGTTCAGCCTGGGGTATTTCCCCTGCTGAGGAGTGACAGGGCTGGAGCCTTTGTCTGCTTTCTGCCTCCTTCTCTTCCACGAATCCTGGGTCAGCCTTTCCCAAGTGATACTGCCCCTGGGGTGTCCTAAGCCCCTGGTTCTGCCAGGAATGGTAGCTTGGATGACAGGGCTCAGAGTCCCAACATCCATTTGAAATCTCCCTCCCTGCCTCTGAGTATGTGGTGGGATCAGTGACTGGCAGGGCCAGCCTCTCCCTGGCTGGCCTCCTTTCCCACACAGGCAAATCCTCAGCCTTCAGGTTCTTATGGACCTGCCTGTTGTGGAGTCACACTAGCCCCTGCCCTGGCCAGAGGTGACTCAGTGCCTCAGGATCTGTGTGGCTCCTTCCCCCAGCTGGGGTACTCTTAAAGGGGCTGGGGTAGAGGCTGAGTGCCCATAGGAGGGCAAAGATTGTGCTGATAGATCAGCCCAGATCGGTGGGTTCTAGCAGTTTCCCCAGGGGATTAATGGGGCTCTAGGGCCCTGCTGTCTTTCAAGGAACTTCGACACCAATTCGACCCCAATGATGGCTGATCTCTCCCGCTGTCTCGTAAAATTACACTCCTTCCTGATGAACTCTGGGGACCTCTCTTCCTGCAGCCTTGTCCTTGGGGAGTAGAGGGAAATACCTGCAGTGACCCTGCCTCCACGACATTGGCCAGGCAGGACAATTCTGGAGCCTGTACTGTGGGGATCCTCACTGGCCAGCCCAGCCCCGTCTGCAAGCCAGGCTGGGCCTGGGTGTCACTTCGCTGAGCTCTCCCAAGGCTATCAGCAGTGAATACCCCCACACCCGCCACTGGGGGCCTGGGCTCTCTGTCAGTCCCTTGGTCTCTAGCCTGGGCCTGGGCTGCTCTGCTGCCTGCCCTCCTTTGTGTATCAAGTGTCACTCACAGTCCCATTCACTGGGGAGCCTTTCGGATCTATTTGATCTTTCTCGTGCCCCCACTGGTCTGTACCCCGGGGAAGGGGTGCTTGTACTGTGAATCCAGTGTTCACATTCACACTTAATGACTTCCTTGGCACAAATCATGTATTTCACCATTTGCACTTTTTGTATTTCAATAAAAATAGAGATGCAAAACTGCCCATCTGGATGTTGGGGAAGTGAGTGGGGCGGGGAAGTGAGTGGGGCGTGGAAGTTGGGAACTAGATGGGAAGTGTGGTGCGGTAGAGGAAGAGGAACAGATGGGGCCTCAGGAGGTCCCCTCCCTAGTCCATCTGTCGCTTCCTCATCTTGTGCACTCGAGTGGTGATGAGGGCACCTTCCTGACCAGCTTCTAGACATGAAGGTGTCCACAGCAACCTTCCCTTGTTTGTACCCCCAGTATCCCAGCTGGCCACCATGTACTGTATCCTATGACCAGGGCCTCTCCTGTTTCCCAGGTGGAAGGTACCAGAAGTTTGAAGGGACCTTAGATTTATCTAAGGCAAGTAGGGGGAAGAAAAGTGTGGACTGTGGTGGACAATGGTGTGGGATCTGGGGTCACATGAGAGAGTCCTCATTCCCTCATGTACCAGGTCTCACCAATAATCCCCTGGCTTACCCTGTGACTGCTGCTTCATCAGAAGACGGTTTCTCTGAGGATCAGAAATCATGCAGACACCCCAGGCACGTGACTCACACCTGTAATCCCACTGCTTTGGGAGGCAGAGACAGGAGGATCACTTGAGCCCAGGAGTTCAAGACCAGCTTGGACATAGATCTCACATAGTAAGATCCTGTCTCTACAAAACCTAAAAAATATTAGCCAAGCATGATGGCACACGCCTGTGGTCCCAGTTAATAAGGAGGCTGAGGTGGGAGGATTGCTTGAGCCCTGGAGGTCAAGGCTGCAGTGAGCTGTGATTGCACCAATGCACTCCAGCCTAGGTGACAAAAAGAGACCCTATCTAAAAATTAAAAATGTAGGCAGCATCTAACATCACAAGTGTGCAGTGGTCATGCATGAATGGTGCAGCAGCTGGGAGAGGGTCCCTCAGCCCCTGAGCCCTCCCTTCCATGCCACCCCTTAGCCTCAGGTCAGGCCATTTCCATCTGCCAACCTACTCACAAGGAGGCTGTGACAGATCCAGTTCCCCTATCCTCTTGAGCAGGTTTTGCTTTGCTTTAAAGGTCAAGATGGTTATTCTACTGCAATTTTTTTTTAAAGGTTTGTCAGTGGGAGGGTAGGACAGAATTTCACTTCCCACAGTGGTCAAGTTCCAGGTGTTTGCTGCTTGCTTGCTAATGGCAATCAGGAAGCTCTAAGTGGCCCCAGCTGGGCCTGGTTTTTCTCCTCCTTGCTTGCCTGGGTTGGGGGAGCAGGGCCAGAGCTGCAGGATCAGGCAGTGTTAAGATGCTGGTTATAAACATTAGGCCTGAGCCCCAGGAGGCGAGTCCCATTGCAAGATGGTGGCCTTCCACCAGGCACTAGGGGCCTCCTCTCTCTCTGGATCTGCTCAGCTAGAGCTGGGCAACTGGAACTGAGAGGCAGTGACCCAGGGAAACAGGAGTGAAGAAACTGTTTACTTGGGTTGGGCTCCTGGCAGGGCCTCTGCTGAGTGACTCAAATGCCAATTTACCAAGGTCTTAGCAATGCTGGCTTCCAGGGGTGGAGTGCAGGGAGATGCTTTAAAGAGGCAGGACACCATTGCTGGGCATGGGGCAACTGAGCACGTTGTTATTGGGGGTTCCTGGTTGAAGAGGAACACTGGGAACAGCCTTTTCATCACTTCTGACCCAAGTATCGGGCAATTGTCCTGGTTGGCCACATGGTTGGTGTCATCTGGTTTACTAATAAGCAGGAGCTCTCGGCTCCAGGAATGGGCTGGATTTAGAATTTTCTAACCAGCCCTTTTTAGTCCTGGATCTGGCTTCTGCCTGAAGGTGGGTGGGGCAGCAACCCAGACAGCAGCTGTCCAGTTTTTGTCCGTTCTTTTGCCTCTAGAACCATCTCTGCCTCTGGGACGTTGGCTCCACCTTCAGCTCCCTCCCCCAACTATGGGCACAAACTAGGAGGCCGGGCTGGCCCTGGCCAGGTGGAGAGGCTGGCAGCCCCAGCCCCCAGGGGCCAGACAGGATGCAACCCCCATAGGGCTCTTCTACTCTTTCTGGCTCAAGGACCGCCCTAGGTCCCTGGCGGGAGCGCTGGTCAAATCAAGGCAGCTAACAAACTTGCATGGGCCCTTAACTTCCTGCTGCTTCCCTCTCTCTGGTTGCTCACGCTCCCCGACCCCAATGGCTTGGGGAGCCCTGCACTCCCTGTCCCCGGGACTGTTGTTTTCCCTCTGAACCATTCCTCCAAGATGAGTTCTGTTACATAAGAGGCAATAAAGAGCTGATGACAGTGGCCTACATTTTATGGAAATTTTACTATGGGGGTATTTTAAATGCATTATCCAACTGAATATTCAAATACAAGCTGCTGATGGGGGAACAGGGAAAGTGAAATTCTAAGAAGTTTCCTGACCCAGGAAACCCCAGGGTTCACAGCCCCTAAGTGGCCACACCCCACTCTAAACAGGCTTGCTGGACACAGGTCTTTCGGTGCTTCACAATGCACCACTCTCCCCTTTCCCAGACCTGCACTGGGGCGGGAGGGGGGGAGAAGGAGTTACGAAGTCTTCAGACAGCTTGCAGGACAGGAGGCTGTAAAGTACAGAAAAAAATTTATTGGAAATCTCTTGAATACATTTTGAAGTGTAGCTCAGTATTTCCAAACAAAGTAGGTTGGAGAGGTTGGAGGAAGAGGAGGGACTCTGCCACCTGGAGACAGACAGCTGGTCCCAGCCTGTCCCGGGGGTGCTGCAAGAGTCAGTCTAGGGCTCATATGTTTTATGGTAGGGCTGAGGGGCAAGGGCTGCCCTTAACAGTTGCTTTGGTTCTCCCAGGCTCAGCTCAGTCAGGGCTGCGCCTCCCTGGCCTCTTCACAAATGGGGCTCTGGTGAAAGGCTGCTGCCGCCTGCAGAGACCAAAGAGAGCTGCCTGGGACAATGGCTAGCAGGCCTTTCCATACAAGGCCTTGGAAAGAGGCCAGTGGCTGAAACATGGGGGCATCAATAACTTACCAGGGGCCTTCGGGATAAACCTGGGCCTGGGTTCAGCAGGCCATGCATGTGCTCTGGCCCAAAGACAGGAGGACCAGTTGACTGCTGCCGCTGAGAACAAGTTCTCTGTGGCAGCAGCAGCAGGCAGAGCTCAGGTCTCCTCCAGAGCCTGCTCCAATCCTCAGAGGTCAGCCTTGTAGGTGGGAACAGTGTCACGTGCAGTTTACTAACAAGCAGTTGAGGGCCACCTGCTCCACTCAAGCACAGCTGCTGCCAATGAGAGCCCCAGGTGGGCCAGGAGGAATGGAGTAAACCTAGATCTCCTTAGCCAGGACTAGCAGCGAGGCTGGGAGAGGACAGATAGCAGGTGGGTGAGGCTAGGCACTTGACTTATTCAAGTAACAATACCTGAAGGGTTAAGTCAATCATACGCCCAGCTTTGGTTTCTCAACTAGGAGCCAATCCAGCTGGTAAACCCCAGGGCAGTGTACAGACCCTGGGATTAGAGGGTGGTGGTAGCTAGCCCCAAGCAGGAGGAGGAAAAGCTCCACAGTCCAGCCCCAAGGACCAGGAACAAGTACCCTAGCAGTCAGGGGACACACACAACATCCCCTAAGCACTCCATGTGGCCATCACATTTAGACCTCCTGGGCTGCCAGAATAGAGTCAGTCACGCTGCAGAAGCTGTCAGAGATGCAAGGCCCTCACCAGGAATACTCAGCTGTCCAAGGTAAAGCCTGTAGTCAGTTTCAGTGCAGCCATGCTGGGAGCTGACTTCGCTCCCGGTCAGCCCTCTTCTTGGATCTCGCCATCTGTATGGTGGGAGGGCAGATCCTCGCAGCAGCAGCAGCAGCAGCCCGGATTCTCAAGAACCTCCAGAGGAGGACTCCGTCCCAGGAAGAGCCCTCCACCTTCTCCAAGTGAAAAACAACTCACCCCAAACATATTTTCTTTATAAAATATCTGGTTTCTCTGAAAGTAATAAATATTTACTGTGTTCTATAACCAAGGAGCAGCAACAGGGGTAGGAGAGGAAAAGAACCTTTGCTATGACTCCAAGTGACAGAATCCTAGAGATTCAGGGTTCCATTTTTATTTCCCATGTAGCTGAGGACCTGAGCATGGGCAGCCACCAGGGCTGCTCAGACCCTCCCAACCTTCGGGGGTGGGAGTGGCTAGTTTTGGAGTTTTCATCTTGGGCAGACAGGCCTGTCATATTGCCAGAAGTACAGGCATGGGGCAGAGAGGGAGGAAGAGGGGAAGAAGATAGCAGGAAGTAAAGGGGACAATAAAGAGCCAAGGGACTCCTTCCTTCTCTTGGCACCGTCTCCTTCCTCTTTCTGCCTCAACACCAATCTCTTGGCCACCAGCTGAAATGTCAAATAGTGGATGGTGACAGCAGGCAGGGAAGGGGCCAGCTGCAAGGCAGGCCCAGGCAGGAGGCAGAGGATGCCACCCTTGGGAAGCAGTTGATGGGTGGGGCATACAGATGGCCCTACTGAGGGCTCTTTTGTATGAGGGGTCTTCCCATCTCCAAGGCCAGAGCGTGAGTCTTCTCCAACTGGGCACTGGGCTTGACTGCCGCCACGGAGGCTCCAGGAGTCCACGAGTAGGGAGTTCTGGGTCCCCATGGGAGAAGCCACCCTCCCTTCCACCTGGCTCGGAGCAGGATGAGGTGTGGGAGCAGCTGATGCATGGGAGGCTGCCTGTCCCCTGGGGCCACAAAAAGGGGGGTGCTGCTGGGACTCGAGGATACTTTTACTGCAGGGTTTCCACAAAGGCATCAAACTCGCGGACATTCTTCTCATGCACAGCCAGCTTCTCTGGTAATGAGTCCTGTACCAGGAAGAGAGGAAAGAGCTGCTTATTCAGGCAGGGCCTTGAAGAGGCAGCCAGCCCAGTCCCTGAGAGGAGAGGAAGTGAGCAAGACAAAGCTCAGCTGAGACTCACTGGGCCGAGCAAGCAGGAGAACACAGGGAAGCTGCGCAGGCACAGGATGGGGAGAGGTATGTCCATCAGGGCTCTACAGGGGCTGCAGGGTTAACAGAACAGCCTTGGGAGTCCAAGTAGGACACACACTTAATGAGAGAGAAAAGGACTACAAGAGCAAGATGACCCAGAAATTAAACATGAAATATTCCTGGCACAGATCAGACCGACACTAGAATAAAACAGCAAGTGTACAGCTCTACAAATTAAGCAGAGTTTACTAAAGATTTCTTCACAACCTTTGCTGGGCATCAAGACCCCCTGGGGGAACGTGAACCAGGTGGCCCTGAAACACTCCCAGAATTCTGACACAGCAGGTCTGTGGTAAGGCCTAGGAATCTGTATCTTTAGCTGAGTAGAGGGTGAGTTAGAGGCAGCTGAGAGAGAATGGTAAAGAGAGAAGCAAAGGAAAACAGAACTGTGAGAAGTTTAACTGTCTAGAGCATCAACTATTAATAAAAATGTGCCTCCACTGATGACTCAATGAGAAGCTGCATCTGCAGAGTTTCACTGGCACAACTTCCTGACAGCATAGGGTTAAGCACGACCACAAGGGAGCCTGGAGAGTTTCCTGCCTCAGAGCTTATAATGTGGCCTGGCCACACCAGTAGCTGAGCGTGGTTTGGGTGCCGCTTCCTGAAGGGAGAGGGAGGCCTCAGAATTGGCTTGCAATGGCTGTGGCATCAGTTGAGAGAAGTGGAGCCGTAACTTCCTTCCAAGTTCATGTCATGATAGGCAGGGGTTAAAAGGCTAAATTCAGCTCCTCTAGGATCAAACAAAGCTTTGTTTTGCCTGGGTTTGTGTGACCATAAGCAAGCTAATCATTGTTGGTTTTCTCATCTGTAAACTGGGATGAGAAAATTTACCTCTTAGGGCTGTTGAAGATTCACGTAAAACACTTAGAAAAATGCCTGGCACTCAAACAGCAAAAAAGCTTTATTTATTTATTTAGTTTTTTAGACAGGGCCTCACCCCGTCACCCAGGCTATAAGCAGTGGGGCAAACAAGGCTCATTGCAGCACTGACCTCCCCAGCTCAAGCAATCCTCCTTCCTCCACCTCCTGAGGTAGCTGGGAGTACAGATGTGTGCCACTACGCCCAGCTAATTTTTTGTATTTTTTATAGAGACAGGGTTTCACCATGTTGCCCAGGCTGGTCTTAAACTCGAGTTCAAGTGAAGGCCTCCTGAAGTGCTGAGATTACGGGGACTACAGACACATGCCACCACGCCTAGCTAATTTTTTTGTATTTTTTTGTAGAGACAGAGTTTTACGTGTTGCCCAGGCTGGTCTTAAATTCCTGAGTTCAAGTGATGGCCTCCTTGGCCTCCCAAAGTGCTGAGATTACAGGCGTGAGCCACTGTGCCTGGCCCGGAAAGCATTGGTAATAATTATTACTTTTTTTTTTTTTTGAGACAGAGTCTCGCTCTGTCACCCAGGCTAGAGTGCAGTGGTATAATCTTGGCTCACTGCAACCTCTGCCTCCCAGGTTCAAGTGATTCTCCTGCCTCAGCCTCCTGAGTGGCTGGGATTACAGGCGCCTGCCACCACGTCCTGCTAATTTTTGTATTTAGAGATGGGGTTTCGCCATGTTGGCCAGGCTGGTCTTGAACTCCTGACCTCATGATCTGCCTGTGTTAGCCTTCTAAAGTGCTGGAATTACAGGCGTGAGCCACCACACCTGGCTATTACTGTATTGTTATTACTGAGCATGCTTTTCTCCTTAAAGCAAATCCAAGGCAGCTACCACAGGGTCTTAATATCTATTTAGGAGGTAACCATTCTACCTCAAAGAGGAACATCTCTGGGCAGAGGGCACCCAGAATTTGTGGCTTGCGTGGGGCACTCTTCTGCCCCTTAGAGGCAAGCAGAGGAAATGCCCTAAGCAGAGACCTGGGGTCATTATGGTATCAGGACATCTGGCCAAGAGTGAGAATTGCTAGATGACTGAGTGAGCTCTCTGAGGAAAGGGCAAGAACACAGACACTTGGGACTTCACATTCTCCTCTGCCCAGTACCACTGGCATATTTGCCTGGCAAGCTAAATAGCTAATGCAAGGGCTGTGAGAGCAACTTGGCCTAGTGGCATTTGCAAGGAGAAGACATCAGGAACAGAACAACAGGAGCATGTAAGTAATGCTGAGAATGCACAGAAAAGAGGAACTGCAAATTCCAGATAATGACTGCCGGGCACAATGCAAATCTTGGGCACAATGCAAATCTCAAGTGTGATCAGAAGATAATGGTCTCAAAATGTCTCCTTCCTATTACAGGCAAGATAGGAGGTGGTGTGGGGATGCAGAGGAGTAACAGGAAGAAATTTCTAGGCTACCAAATAAATGACAAAGAAATGACCACCAAATAAGGATGCACTGCAGTGGAGGAAGAGGTTTCCATACCAAGTCTTCAGCCATGGACTGTGCTCCAATATCTATGGAGAGGCTGCTCAGCTGAGGCGGATTCTGAAACTCACGATAGAAGGTCCCCAGGTCCATCGGAAGAATGTCATCTTTAGAAAAAGCTGGCTTCTTCAAAAACAAGACAGACTCAGTTCAGCTTGTTTTGAACCACTGAAGAGATAAGCTATGAACAAGTCTCTTCCCTTCTAGCAATTATCCAAGGAAAGGTTCTTCAGCCTTATCTTAGAGAGAGGAATCTTTACATTTCTCTCTTCCAGAATGTTCACTTCTCAGCCCCCCACCCCTTTTTTGAGACAGGGTCTCACTCTGTGCAGTGGCATGATCTCGGCTCACTGCAACCTCTGCAGCCTGGGTTCAAGCGATTCTACTGCCTCAGCCTCCTGAGTAGCTGGGATTACAGGCACCTGCCACCACACCTGGCTAATCAGACTGTTCACTTCTAATGCTGGTGATCATATTCCTTTCCACTGGTTGGGTTTACATCCCCTTCCTTCAAATGCCTTGCCTAGGCACGAATAGGGCCTAAGAGAGTATCTGGAAAATCTCCATTTAAGAGTTGAATTTCATTGTTAATTTCAACCAAGAGCATGATACAAAATGCCTTGTTGTTTATGGGCCTCCAAAAATGGCTCCCCCGACCAGGCTCCAGCTGTCCAGCCCCTCTGATTACGACAGTACATCAAATCCCTATGACGGAAATCTGGGTCAAGTACAGTAGATGCTTCTAGTTCTAGCTCCCTGGCACAGCAAAGGTCAAGGAAGGTGATGGTGACTTACAAAATCTATCATAACGAAGTCATCATGGGTATTGCCACTGCTGCCCCCGCTGGAGCCATCCGAGTGCAGGCTGCCCTGGAGAGGAGATTCAGTGTCTGGGGAATCTGGAGGATTCACCTGTTTCATAGTAAGGCAGGGTTAGGGCTGACGCTGTGACCTAGATTCAGGTTACTGTAAACAATCTGAAAATTCTGGGAAGAACTTAATGCTGGCTACCAATCCATAAGCCGAGGCACCATGGTTTATAGCCTGTGGAGGATTAGTGACTCTGGCCCAGGAAGGACAATGACTACTATACCATCTACTGGGATCTGGTAGTCAATGGTGAGCTCACCATCGGATCAGTATCCTCCAGCTCCAAATTCTTGGGAGCAAACATGGCGAAGGGTATATCCAAACTCGTCAGGGTCACCTGAAGAGACACAGGAGAAAAGCGCTCATGCCTGCCCCTCCTGCAGCGTTCATGCTTCCTTCCAGGCTGCCAGAAGCCTAGAGGTCCAGCAAGTTCGCACACCTAGGCTGACCATGCTGCCCCCTCAGGCTCCTGCCTTGTTAGAGGCTCCCCAAGCTCCCTCACCTCCCTGTCCCCCATCACATACACCCACAGCATAAACAAGGGCTGGTGTAATCCCCGCACTTTGGGAGGCGGAGGCGGGCAGATCACAGGGTCAGGAGTTCAAGACCAGCCTGGCCAACATGGCGAAACCCCGTCTCTACTGGAAATACAAAAAATTAGCCAGGCGTGGTAGCACACGCCTGTAATCCCAGCTACTCGAGAGGATGAGGCAGGAGAATCACTTGAACCCGGGAGGCAGAGGCTGCAGTGAGCCGAGATTGTGCCATTGCACTCCAGCCTGGGCAATAAGAACAAGACTCTGTCTCAAAAAACCCCAAAAAAACTAAAAAAAAAAAAAACAAGGGCTGGGGTCCTGAGGACCCTGGGAATTCAGCTTTGGAAGCCTGATCCACAGTAATGCAGTAATAATGTGCTTCACTGGCCCTGCTGAGGAAGAACCTCCTAGTTCAGTTCAAACAAGGCTAAGCCAATGACAAAGTGTAGTGTTTTTATACTAAATGGTATCTAGGTCTACTCTCCCTTTCTTGCACGAGGCTTTAAAAGTTAACAGAATAGTTCTTGACTTATTATAGAGGGGTGGCACAGGTTATTAATCCTCTTCACAGAGAAATTTACACACAGATACAATTTTGCATGCCAGTTCAGTAGTTTCATATATAATAGTATCTCAGGTGAAGAACACTACCTGTGGGGCCTTACTCTAAGAACTCAGACATTCTCATAGGTGGCAGTGGCAGAAAAATCACCTGGTTAATGGGTTTGTTGACAAATGCCCCCACTTTTCGGACAAAGATGGTCTCCAAGACATCGTGTGGGGAGGCCCGTCCCTCACTGCTGTTTGATACGGTTTCAGTATCCTCACTGTAGAAGAAAGGTAAGTTAGTACTCATTCTCAAACCATAGCAGGACGACTTAGTACCCTATAAATCCACCATCTGGTGGGGCTATGGCCTAAGACAGGAGTTGGCCCCCACTGGCCCATCCAATGGGAGATGGCATTATGTGGTCTGGCTGATGCCACTATCGCCCTGCCTTTTAAGTTGACTGCAGAGGGCTGCACTTCCTGGAACTACAAAAAGTTATACATATGTGAATGAAGCTCAGTGTTATAACTGTGCAAAACTTACTTAAAATACAGTCGAAAAGACCAACGATAAATACCAGTTACCATGCATATAGCAGTCATAGATACAGGCAAGCAACTCTCATAAAAAACTGTAGTTTTAATATTTATGTATTACATAGCCAGACCCCAAATTTTTAGCTTTCCTTCTTCTTTAGTTCCAAATTTGATTCCTTAGTCAGCCAGAGCTCTCTTCACCCTTGACAAACTGCCTGGGCTAAGGTTCTCTGGGCTCCCTGCCATGTTTCCTCCCCTCTCCTTGCCCCCAGTCATCCCTCCCTTAACAAAGATCTTTGAATGACATTTAATTTGGCTGCCCCCACTCCCTCCTTCCCCAGCCCTTCAGACTGATACTGAGTCCTGCACAGGGGGCTCTAAGCAGGAAAAGTGGGGACCCATGGTTGTGGTTGCCAAACCAGCAGTCACAGTCCTGCAAGCAGCAAGGGTTAGGAAAAGTCCTCTGGTCAAAAACAGGGGTTCAAGGTGGGCAGGAGGGTTGTGCAGTCAAGTGGCCCCTGGACTCGAGACAGCAGGGAGGACCCATACTGCGCAAAGGCTTTTGAGCTCTTATGACCTGTATTTAAGAACTCCCACACAGGGGCCTCTGTCTTTAGTTACTCCTGGACATGTCCCAAGAGTCAAGGCTCAAAAAACTAGAGTGTAAAATGCCTTTGATCATCTAACAGAGAGAAAAAGGGAGAGGATGGAAGTTTGAGAAGCTAGGAATGACATAAATTATTTTTCCTGATGGATGCCACAAAAAAAAAAAAGGCTTTCTAAATGACTTCCCTCCTACTTTACCACTTTACCGTGGGAATGAAATAAATAAATAAATAAGGAATTTCTATCATGAGAAAGTTCATTTAGAACGTGAGGGAATCTCATTATCTCTAAGGCCTTCAAAATCAAGGGAGGGTAGGGCAGGCCAAAAGAGTCCATGGCTCCCCAGGGAGAGTGGGAGCATCGTGGAAAGAAGAGCTGGTGTTCTGGAGTCACAGAATGTGCTCACCCTCCTGCCCTGTGAGCTAAGTGAGCTCAGGCCAATCACTTAACCCTTCTGAGAAGCAGGCAACAGTGGTGAGTTCTGCAGGGTGGGAATATGAGAACGTTCACGTCCTATCTAATGTTTTCAGGATTTGAGTCTTATAGAATGTATCACTTCAGTAATCAGAAAAGACAAAGACTTACTTTTTTTTTTTTTTTTTTTTTTTTAAATGAGGAAAACAGTTGTTCCAAAGGCTCTCCACCATGCTCTAACACAGCAGAAAAAGATCAATCCCAACTACAACACAGACACATTGTGGTCCAGACTTCAGGGCTATGGTCAACACCCTGTTCTGGTCCTCGGGAAACACTAAGGAATGATTCCAAGGACATAAATCTTGGAGTAAGAGAAAACATCTGACAACCCCTTTACTGGATAAGGGTAACAAGAATCGAGCTCCTGCTGTTTTCTGTTAGTAGTGAAGCTCCAGGCCAGCTTCCTTACATCCCAGCAGATGTATCAGATTCTTAACAGGGAACTTCAAGGAGTCCACATTGTTTTTCTCTTTCTTTTTTTAAAACTATTTTTTTAGGGCCGGGCGCGGTGGCTCAAGCCTGTAATCCCAGCACTTTGGGAGGCCGAGGCGGGTGGATCACGAGGTCAAGAGATCGAGACCATCCTG